GGAGCTCCCAGATCGAGGGAGTTATCCACGTTGGTTTGTTTGATAGACTATACTTCTATATCTTAACCATTATTAAAAATCATCCTTACAACCATTCCACTAAAATCTTCTAGGATACACTACCACAGAATTATGGATTATCTATTCCCACCAGCATGCCTTACCTAAATTGCCAGATAATCAGTCTTCTTCACCATGCTATAAATGCATGGGTGTCTGACCAACCTAATTAGATTTAGATCCATTGGTTGCTACCCTTTGTACAGCTCGTTTTGGGTCTCGCGCCCCCATAGCAGGTAATTTCCTGTAGCGTAGTGTTCACTTCCGTGTCAGATAAGACGTTTTGGATTGGTGCCGCGTTGAGTGAATCTTTCACTAACATAAAGAATACAAAAAATAATCAGAAAAAGATACAACAAGGCAGTACAACTCGTTATTTCACACAAGTCATAGCCAGGACGGGGAGAGTGACAGAGGAGCTAGAACTCCTTAAAGATAAGAAGTCTAACACGGTCTGTGAGAGCAATTTAAGATCTTAAAGATTTGTTTGCGTCGCGCAAGAACTCATAAGATTAACTTATTCTAAATTTCTCTCACCGAGGAACAATGGTTGCCCAAAACTTACAAAGTCTCTCCTCTCAAATATATCTAAACAACCTACAAGTGATTCCTTTCTCTCTGAGATTCTCTCCTTCACACACTATTTCTCTCGTCCAATATCTAGTACTCTTTTACATAGTTCTAGAGTGTATATGCGGATAACAATTGTTAAAACCCAACTCATATTAGGTTCCAAAAAATGAACCAAAAGAACCCACTCTCCATTTTTTAAGTGGAGAACTTGCACAATTTGGTGGGCTGACTAAATACTTTTTTGCACCACTGTATGTGGTCCGGGGTGGTGTCCAGGGGGAACTACGCAGCGTCAGAATATAAACCTCTCTCTTTTTCTCCGTACCCAAATATCTCCAATCTAAAACGGGGGCCTACAACGGGGCCTGATCCAGATTTGGTCCAATATACGTAATATCGAATGTTGCCTGGCTTTAACACCCACGGCCCCTATCAGAAACTTTGCCTATCAAGAAACAATGCCTGACTTGTTTTGGACGTAATATGGCCTATCCCCTGTGTACCTTAGCAGTCTAACACTCAGAGCTAACCTGTATTGCACAGAGCATGTGTGTGAAGAAGCAGGAAATAAAAAGGAACTCACCTTGTGGTATAACCGGCAAGAGAGAAAGCCTTTGAGTTCCATACTGTTTCAGAAATAATCCTTGATAATCCATGATATGGCGTTTCATCACGGCAGTATTTAGTTTAGACAGTAGCTGCTGGGTCCCGCATGAGCTCAGCCCCCTCCTTTTTAATTTTTTTATTAATCTTTTTGTTTCTTTTTTAAAGCTTTATAGCCAAAATCAGCCCTTTGAAACAGGAAGTGAAATAGAAGGATATGAGGCATGGCTATAATGGTTGATCTGTTTGGTATTTTGAGCAAAACACTTCATAGACATGTTTTTTATATATATTTATATATCTGAGACCTATGCTATTGCCTAAAAAGAGCATGATTTTTAAAATTCGTTTTAGTGAGTATTGTACCAAACCAGTGATCACAAAGTCTCCTTTTCTAATTTCAATGTGTCAGTTTTGAGCTGACAGAGGCGTTTTCTCTCACAGACAATGAAGTCTTTTGTATTGTAACTTTAAAAGCACCTTGAATAGCGCTGGTTGTGACACCTTATCTCTGCCAGGTCAAACTGGATCTACAGTGACTCTGTATAGCTGTCACTCACTATTGTCCTTATCTAAATGGAGTATATGACCCCGTTCCCTCATTAAAAATGAAGAATAATATTTCATGCCTGTGATTGACCAGTAGAATGTTCTTCTTTTCCAGCAAGTGAAAAACGCTCTGAAGTACACAGTTGGGTTTGCCATTGTCTGCGTGGTGCTCCTTTTAATTGGGTAAGTTGGAGAAATGGCTGGTTTCTTTGGCTTCAGTACACGATAGGTGGAAGAGGGCGTGGATGTGTCAATGTGTGGAGTTAATGAGGAAGGCCCCTTCAAACAGCCACCATATAATTTGCCTGGCCATGATAAGCCATTAAAATAAAAAAACTATAGACGTCCTCTGTCTAAATAAAGGTGGTGTTCTTGTCAATCTGATTCCAAACCAGCATGTGTTATCTATGTACAAAGCTCATGTGGAGGGAATATTGAGGCTTTTCTGTGATGTTGTGTGTTATATCTACAAATCTATATTGATGCACCTTCTCAGCCATGTCCCATTTATCCCGCAATTTTCTACTAGTTTTGTTCTGTAGCACCTGCAGTACATAATAGACTTCTCTGCAGCCGTGACAGCAACATGCCACGAGTGCTACCTAAACTAAGCAATGTGCTCTCTCAGCCGTTAAATGATACATCGGAGGTTTACTTGGTTTTAGAAAAATAAAGGACCCGTGACTATACTTTTTCACAGTTAGTGTTTGGAAGTTAGGATTTATTTGAGACTAAAGCAATTTTGCTCCTCTTTTACCTCATGAACTGTAAGCTCGAACTTGAAGGCTTTGTTCTGGCTATTGTTTCTGTGGTAACAAAATAATGGCTTTTATACTGGCCTGCTTTTCTCATACCAGGAGAAATCATGGTTGAGGTAGGTTTCTGTTAATTAATTTGGTCTTTTCTTCATCCGATTTATATTTTGTCTTTTTAACTTGCAAGGTGTTTACCTCATTGTATTATTTATATTTTAATTTTAATTTTGCCACTGCAAGTGACTTTGTTTAACATTAGGACCCTACCCTTTCTTGTTATTTGTGTTAAAGTTATTAAAAAACACTTTTAACTTGTTATGAAACATTTTCAATGTAATACTAATGCCTCTATTACCTACATGTAAACGAGCCGCGCGCCTGCCTGCATCTCATCGGCTTTAAATTAGAATGATTTTCTTTTCTGTTTCAACTGAAACAAAATAAATACATAAAGAATCAAAATCTTTACATAATGTTATTGTTTTCAAGGTTTTAGAGTGGCGATGCTACGAGAACTTCTGAATGCTCGAACACTATGCATGATGAATAGACAAAAGCATTAATGACTCTGAATGTTTCTATGTTTGTTAGAAAATAACCCTTAGAGTTTGCAAAAGTTACATTTCACTGCAGACAAAGTTGTAGAGAGTTTTGTCACAGCTAAGGTCACTTTTATGAGGTGTGCTTTCCTAGAATGAAAAATGACACATGGCATGGCCTAAAGGAAAATATTAAGTATGGAGCCCTGAGGGTAGCAACATGATAGTGGGGCAGATAAAAGCTATTGAGACCTCAGACCTTTTTCTTTTTGCATGTACGGCAAAGAGAAGTCTTAGAGATGGTAATTTCATGTCTTTTACCTCCCCTGGTGAAGGCTTTTTATTTTTTGAAGGACCAGTTTTTGAATTTCCTCAAAGAATCCTTGTAACTTCAGAGAGAATCATATGTCTCTGCTGTCTGTCAAGAAGGATTCATGATTAAAGGAAAACCATTTCAGAATAAAATATAAATAAATATATATATATAATTCTGTATCAATACTGGTGAACCTTTCCCTCTTTTTGCTTGAACAAATTAATACTGGGAATCTTGAGAAGGTCATCTACCTCTTCGAAGAAATGGGTAAAAGGTGTTTGGTGGAACATGATTGTATACGTTTATCGGAAACAAATATCAAGACATCTTTGCAAAGAATTGCTGACTTTAAACAAGCCATGTCAATCATGTTTGGTTGTGCTAAATATTGAAGACTCTTAATTCATAGTAAATAGTAATAGGAATAAACATAGATCTTATTTTCACAATAAAGTGAAAATGAAGAAAAGAGGTTCATCTTGTTTTCAAGTGCAGTATCAAAGTGGATAATATCCTTTTTATATATTTGTATTTGTCTGCTGTAAACATATTGTACCAGGGGCAGTATCATTGTATTTGGCACAGAAAATGATATAATTATAATTATATATACATCCAAGGAGTTACAGTACTCTTATGCACTGGTCGTTACTTCTGCTAAATTATTCTTTCGTTGCTTTCAGAGCCTTCGTTCCACTTGAGCCCCCACCTGGTCAGAATTCCACCCAATGGGAGAAAGTACAATACCTTTTTGAAGAGCTTGGGAGTAGCCGTAAGTATTCACCCTTTTACAGTTGTTGTTACAGCGACTTCATCAGATTGTCTTTCCTTTATTTATTGTGTTATCAGATACATTTATTAGTTCAAAGTAACATTTCTAACCGTACACTTTCTTGCTTCTTTTTCTTTTTCATATTTTATTCCAGCCACATTGACTGGTGTAAAGTCTACAGTTTTAATGGGGAGCACATTTGAGATGGGTTGACATAGCAGACGAAAAAAAACAAGTTGTCAAAAGAAAGGGCATATTGCCACAGCTTTATGACCCTAATTAATCTTATTCTTCAACGTGTCAACTGTCAGCTAACTGCATGTTAGATAAAATAAACTTGTTACATCATGCGTTTATTTATTCATGTTCATCACCACACTTCTTACGTTGATTGGTAATTATTTAAACATTCATCTTGCTGGATTTATTTGTCAAGTATCACAGGGGGTGATACTGATTTCAACAATGCGTTTGGGCTTAACAACTCGTAGTCTATTTAAGAAACTACCGAACATGAGACTCACAAATGTTATTGTCAATTACATGCTTTGGATTCCTCCATCAATTCACTTTACCAGCAATAAAAAGTGACTTTATAGCCTCAATTTCAAAGTGCAGTAAGAAATTCAATTTGCCAGTTATAATCATCTGGTAATGATGGTTGACTGTGTGATCCCTCCTTCCCATCTTCACTAGTTAAACGGAGCATTGCCAAATATGGACTCCTAACAGTCTTCTGGCCTTTTGCCATCTGGGGATCAAGGAGGAAGTTGAACCATCTGCCTGTCCTCGGCTCAATAGTGGACCCCTACATGCTCTCCTTAACCTTCCTCCCTTGGCACGGGAGGAAATAGCTCGGCTGCGGAGGAGGAAATGTGAGGATCATCCTCCTTTCTAATTCCTCATCCTTTCCCCTCTCCAGATGGGGGGGTTAATTGAGTAAAGGAAAGGCACTTTTGCCCCGTAACCCTGCTGACTGCTTTGCAACGCTGGTTCATTAAGACCCTTACATCTCTTTCTTTAATGGCTCCAACTTACACTGCTCCGGTGATGTACACTCCGTACTGGCAGGTCTCTTTTATTCAGACGATGTCTCGGCCCTCGGGCTTTCTTCAGGATCAACAATCATTTTTGAAAGAGGCCTTGGGGCCGGAACATCATCCGAATAAAAAGACATGCATATGGAGCGGCAGTGTGATTCACTGGTGTGCGTTACCTTTTTAATACTCAATGTTCCAATGAAGCCTAGATGTTCTTTAGATCAGTAGCTGTTATTGTTGGTATTCAACAGCAGACACTACACTCTTGCATTTCCGGGCCATGCCTCAAGGTTGGAGTAGAGTAGGTGGGAGTCCAACTTTCACTTGTAAACGTACTTGGGCAAGAATAACTGCGTGTGCTCATTATCAGTGAGAAAAGAACACATAAACTCACACTGACCGTGAAATATCAACGTGTACTGTATATCCTATGTGTTTTGAGCAAATCTTAAACACATCAATTATTTCTAGCAGTGTTTCTTTCTCTCCTCAACCCCCATACAGAAGATAACCATAGGAATGCAATATAAGCCCCAAGTTATTCTGTGTTTTCCTGTATGAGCTCTTCTTGGTTTGAAGAAGACAGCTCCCATGCCACAAAGAGTATCCAACCTTCTCTGGTCCTGGAGTTTGTAGTCCATGTTGAGAATTGGGGTTGAAATTTAGTTTGGAAATGAACTATAGTTCTAATCATACCTTATTAATGGTAAATGTATACATTTATAAAACCTGGCATGCCAAGGATCCTTTTGGTTATAATTTCTGTACATACACAAAACATAGTGCAACGTTTGTGTTTTGCTAACTCGTGTTTTAAAATAGCATGGGTAAAAATAGAGGCCATTCGTTTATTTTAAATGCATTTGAGGCTTCAGTTGACAGATGCCTAGTGAGGGGGCTGACGTGACGCTGCTGATCTCATCTTGATGGATCGTTTGACAATTCCTGCTGTCCCTCAAAGTGTCCCTCAACTGTGGGATTAAAGCTAAAATATGTCCAAACTATGTTCTTAAATACAAGATAGTATCTGACCCTATTTTCTTTAAATGATTTGACATCTTTACCCACACAGGGAACAACGAATTATGGCTCTCAATTTTCTCAACTTTGCTAAAGGCCTCCACATGCTGTTTTTTGGCAATATGTGGTCATTTCTGCAGTAAATGTTATCCTATCCCATGATCGTAAAGCTTCATTTGACTTGTTTTGATAATTCTATCATTACACAGTATGGGCCCGTGCTAAAGGAGCTCCTTAATTAACACCTCTTTGTACAAGCATGCACACACGCCTGAAGGGCTATACGCAGCGTCAGATAAGAGCACCTCTTTGCTGCTGGATTCAAAGCTGTTCAAATGTGGAAGCCCCGCCGATAATACACCATATTCCCTCTGTATAATCCCCGGAAAATCTGCTCAAGGCGACCAAGAAGAGTGGCAGCAAACATCTATCCTTTGCTTTGTGCCGAGTTCACGAACAGAATGTCCTCCATGCAGAACAAGGAGCTATTGTCTATTTTACAAAGCTCACGACTAAACAATGGCAAAAAAATCGCAGTGAAACACTCGGGAATAGGAAATGTATTCAAATGTTAATGTTCAGCCCAGCTGTCAGACTTAAAAGTTTTCCTTTTTGCATACAATACAATAGGAAGCAGGCATATAATTTATCTCCATTTTCCACCTCTTTGTTCCGCTGCGTGTGAAATGCCTCTAAAAGAAAGCGATAAATGTTATAAACAACACAAAGTATACATGCCCTGAATACGGACTTAATATTTTCAATCAAACGCCGCTGTCGAGGAGAAAGGCAAGCAGGGAGCCACCTATGGCCGTGATGACAGGTGGCCCGGGCGCGATGAAGATGCTGCTGTGAGGATGCAGGATATCTATAAAGGGACAACTGTGTATCTTTTTGCGTGGAGCCCTATAACAGGTGGGAGCTTGACAGGGGATTGAAGCAATCAGTCCCTCCATCAATCCCTGTCCTACAACTCCAACTCTGACAGCTGGTGTGACACCTACTGTTGCCCTTGCCTGATGGGTGGTCCCCTTTCTGCCTCAATCAAAGGTGACACACATCATCTCCGCCTATATACATTGAAAGACCCAGCTGTTACCCATCATGATCAATGTATGAAATGGCAATGATGACAAAAAAGTGGACCATATGTGTCTCCAGAGGAAGACTTTGCTACTGTGCTTTCATTAACGGCGGATTTAAAACCCAAGAGCAGAATACCAAGACGATTCCTTCTCTTTGTCCTTGTGAATAATATTCCTCCCAATTGCCTTCAAGTAAACCAATCCCGGGAGTTTTCACTGAAAGAACATTAGCAGGAAGGTGATTTCTTTGCAGTTCCAGATGGGTTGTTTTCTTGGCAAGAAAAGATGCAAAACTATTAATTTTTGAATTTCTTGTTATTTTGTTTGAGGAGATGAATTTTCTTTCGCAATTCTTGAGGCTCCGTGATTACATTCAAGACATAATTTCAGAGATCAGTACACCCAAATAACAAAAAAAATACTTTTCGCACCTACCTCAAGGATATCTAGCTACCATTACTGCCTTTGCAGAGGTTTAATGAATTCTGCAACAATTTAAAGAGGTAACCCAGGGACTACCAACACAGAGATTTAAAAAAGAATCATTAAAATGTAAGCAGCAGATAAAATGATACCCTGCTCTCCTCCCTGGATCCTACATGGTTAACAATGCCCCAAAAGATCCTCCTCATCTAGTAAATTCGTACATCATACTCACACTGGGATGGCCCCGATAATATCACTATGACATCATCAAGGTCTTCTCCTAAGACAAAGCCTCTCCAGGGCCACAGAGAACATACAACTGTTCACATGCTGAGTACCACTTCACATGAACACTAAAAGGACCTTCTTCACAGTGGAGTGTCCACCTTTACTCACACACAATATTTTAGGATATCTCAAAGACTTTTCTAAGGATTTTAATTAGTATTTTATAAAATGTTTTAATCAGAATCAACCTACCTATATTATCTATCTAAATTATTTCCACCAGAATTTTCCCATTGCTCTGTGTACAAAAGTGCGTCAATGTTATTTCAGAAGCATCTTTAGAACTGACAACAAAGCCACACCTGACTGACATACGGCCAAAGTGTACACAGTACAAAAGGCTCTTGATAGATTATGCATTCAGCAAAGAGTCCTTTGATATTTCTTTCAGAGGCCAACGACACATCTCTAATGGATTTCCTGTCGTTCTTTTACCTGCAGATGGTCTACCCGCTCTCTCTTTCTCCATCAGCTCCTTGACCTTGATTGGCATGTTGGCAGTGATCACTTACACGGTGAGTTGGGACCTGAGACAAGTGTTGAAGTCAAATCATCCAATGGGATGTTTTCCAAAAACGTTGCCAGCCCAGTAGCTCAATAGAACATCTGTGTATCAAGACTCATCAAGTGTTTAAAGTATTAAGAAAGATTCATTTAACTTACATTTTCCGAAGTGGAGCTGTCAGGGCTAAAAAAGCATGTTTTTGCCAAAAATGTACTTAAGGTGCAGTGCAGTTTCTTAAAGTTTTTCCTGTACAATTGGTTTCTCACCTTCTGGGTTGAGATGTACCTGGTGATGGAGTGGCCTTTCAGTATTTGTAATGCCTTGTGATGTTAGAGCTCTGGCATTCAATTGCTCAAATTACTCAGACCGCTGTCTTTCACCTGAGCGCCCGAGACTTTTGCATGATGAATGTTGTGCACCCTTCACCGGCTTATCTACCACTTATCAGCCGTCTATTTATAAATATATATATATATATATATATATAGATCCACCTCAGTGGCCATTAATATATGCCTATATTTTGATTCCCTCAGCATTCTGCACTTTTTCAATTTTTTTCCTATATCAGAAAAATTGACTGCTGTAACACTTCTTAATGCTGTCCATTTTTCATAGCTGTTATCTTGGTGAATAGACTGTGAATATTCCCTGTGGGTGGGGGCACTGGTGCCATTGTGGGAGTTACACAGAAAAGTGCCTACTGGATAGAAATACCAAAAAAAAAGTGTTCCTGTATAGACCCAGAGAGTGAGAGTAAAAGTAACAGCCAACCCCAATCTTTCCAGTTTCTGTGGAGCTCAAGGAGTCCTATTTGACAAATCACACAACAATTGAGTGTGGAACTCCTAATGAATAATACGCAACCGAGACAAGTAGGTTGTAGAACGAGTCTCGCTTAAGGACATGCAATCCATCTCCATTGGGACTGCACTGTTCTCTAAAGGGTGCATAATTACCCAGTGCATGTTGGAAGTGTTCTCAGATTTTGCAATGACCCCTTGTTGATGTTGACTCTGCAAAAGCCCTGTAGAAGTCAAAACACCTGGTGTGACTTTGTTTTTGATTTTACTTGTTTTGATGAAGTCAGTCGAATAAATCAAGCCTTTGGGCGACAACAGCGTCTGCCACTCCCTTACGGGCCCGTCCACACTACAGCTTCAAAAAAAGCTTGCCGGCGGGCGTGTCTGAAGCTCGACCAACAACCAATCACATGAATCTCCCGCCCCTGACACACAAGCAGCGGTTTGATTGGCTAGAGCTTGTACTGGCATATGATTTGATTGGCTGACGCTTCCACCGAAAGCTTCAGAAGCTTCAAAAGTTGAACATTGCTCAACTTTTGCAGCCTGAAACGCCAGGAAAGCTCCGCTCTGCCAGGCAACGTGACGTCACCCCATTCAAAGTGAATGGGCAGACGCGTTGGAAACCGTTTTTGAAGCTGTCGAAGCTGTAGTGTGGACGGGCCGTTATTGTCACAGAAACAAGTGCAGAAACTCTCTTTATCTCACTTTGTGTCCTTTCATCTAGCTTTTTTCCTCTCTCCTCTGTCTTCAAGAGGCGAAAGTCTTTTTAGTTGCAGCCTACCCATATTTGCAAAGAGCTGTTTGATTGATTATTTTTTATTATGTGTTACTATTAAGCCTGATTAACTTAATGGAATCTCAGTGACAGGTACTATAAGCAGCGGAAATGTTGTCCATGACTCCTGTGCTAATTTATCACGACTCTGCGTACAGAACTTGCCATCTTCACCTAATGCAAAAAACTCAGTGATGTAAACAGTATATATCAGTGCAGCCCAGTGCACTTAAAATGAATACAAAGTGAAACAACTTTGACATCCTTTTGAACTTTTTATGCCATGTTCTCTTATGAGAAAGAAGGAGTATAAGAGAAACATATTTGTGTAATACATATTTGATCAAACAGAGATATCCTGATGTAAAAGAAATGTGACACTGTTTTGATTTGACTAGGCTTTTGCTAAACTTAACACATTATTTTAACAGTTTGAATACTAAATGTTTCTATTAATAAAGTATCATAGATAATCAATTCACCACTAATAATACAATTAGCTTGTTGTCTGTTACAGTGTTACAGTGTTATACTGTTATTACAGTTCATCAATTAGAGCTCAGCCTTAGAGGAGATAATACTATAATTATACTCTAACTCCAGATAAAATACATAGATTTATTTTTCCACGCTATATAATTAACATACTGTGTTAATCATCAGAGTTTTCATCCCTATACTTTCAACTTATAATAGATAAGGACTAAAAATTAATTAAAGTATACAGAAATATTACATTTTTCAAAAGCATTATCTGACTGTGACTTAAAAATAAAGGCCTGTTTAGTCACTAAACTGTTACAGTTAGTGTGTGGTTTTATAACTAATTGTTTAGCACCTGTCAATCACTTTGAGCAATAGCAGGTAACATAAATGAATAGGTTGTCCCTTAAATAATTTGAATAGTTATACGCTTTGTATTGGATTTGTGATGAAAGCCTTTGTCACTTAATAATGAGGCTGTCATTTTTTAATGGTGATGAGTAAGTAACTTGACAATGCCTATCTATAATAATAGTACATTTATTCACCTGGGATGTTTACATGCATATTCCTTCTGTATTGTGATCAGATTTTACCTGAAACATAAAGGTGGTGCATTATGTGAAGTCCTTTGACTTTATTTAAAAGCTAGGTCAGCGTATGACTCTCACATCTCTCTCTCCCGTGGGCCTACCTGTCTCTTTCTCTTAAATTGCCAGCCGGCAGATGCTGATCTGAAGTTGGGAAGATGAATGTCTGTAGATCTAATCAGAGGTCCTGAGATTGACCTGGGAAGATGTTGTCTCTGAGTGAATCAGAGGGTGTCATTAAAACGTATTACTCTAGAACTATCAAATCCTTAGATGCAATATTTAATATTTACATTTCATTTATATAATTTATATTTCTTTAGCACTTTTCTACTGAAGTTAGACATTGGATTTCAAATGAAACATGGTATGAAAGTTTCACTGCAGTAGAATTGTTTAATCTCTAGTTTTCAAAACTTTCAAAAAGCAAAATACAATTGCCTAAAAGGGAAGGTTTAAAAAAAGTGAACATGATAATCACAATAACATTCTGAGGTGGCTAAAAATCCCCAACTTTTGATATGTGGTCACATTGAGGTCATTCAGGATTCATAAACACAATTTTCATGGTAGAGCGTACATGGCATGCGCTCCTTTCTTGTGCCGCGTGTCTTGTTTTTGGAATGTTTTTAAGACACAAACAAACCTTAAATGTTCTAAAACCATTCAGCGCAATGCGTCAAGTCACACAGCACGTCAGTATTACTCTTGGTCCAGGCATCCAATCATATCAAGTTGAAGTTAGCCTTTACTATTTTCCCACCTCCTTACTGTTTTGATGCTAAAATATGTGGTTTGAACAGTTGGACAGTGGAACATGCAACTACAAAACACTAGGTCACCCTATTATTAAAATACAAGTTGGAGCTTGACGTCTGCTTCAATCAATTGTTAATCACACATTTGATTGCCTGGTTGCGCACGCAGTCCCACTCCACTGGCACACCAAGCTGTTTTTCTTGGAAGTGCTTTACCAAGGCCCTTGTGAAGTGACCGTACCTGTAGTGATGTATTTCGGTGTGTCCAAATCCATGCTTTTCTGGAAGGTTTCTTGTTTGTTTTTTTATCAAAGACTCACATGTGCAATTACTTTATGATTAGCACACCACTGATTGTAATGGATCATTAATCTTACTGCAATTACTGTAATTAAAGAAGAGGTCATAGGTCAAACTTGGTACAATGTCTTTAGAAACCCAAAAGAGCGCACTTAAGGTTCGAGAAGCATTCGAAGGCCTTTTCAGAACTGGGACATAGTTTGATTTTTCAGATGTAGAAAAATTGGTAAAATTGCTTCCGTTAATTCAAACCTTTCGTTTACACACAGCCACCCCATGTGAAAGGGGAGGGGATCAACATAGGTCCAAGTTATTTACTCACTCAAATTGTGTGCCAGTCTTTTCATTGGTCACTGACAAACCAGAGTATTCCTTATTACTAAACTGACTACACTATGTCTCAAAGGTTATATAGGCAGATGAGATTTAGTAACACAGCTGCTGGAAGGATACGGCAGGAAACACGAGTTTGAAGCTCAGTCATACAAGAATACACACTACTAAAGCATCCATTGTTAGCTCTATTTTATCTCTATTAACATACTTAGTACATGATACTAGAGCAGGGGTCGGCAACCTTTTTGATCTGAAGTGCCATTTAAAAAAAAAATTGTTATCAGCGTGCCAACGATCGAGAATTATCAACGGGGGGGGGTTTTGAGGAGCTTGACGCTCGTCAACTATCAGCAAGAGGGCTGGGAAGCCTCGCAGTGTGTGGACCTGTCAGCGCAACTCACATGATGCCGAATTTAACAAACAAATTTAAATAATTGGTTTAAACGGCATAACAATAAGGACGATCGTCCGTTCTGTGATTCTCCAGAACACACATGTTATGATATTAGGGTCATGCAGAGTGAGATGAGATCGCTGTCCCCTTTGTAGCATATTGTTTAGATGAGAGATGAGCAGATCGCCACTGGGCTTTCAACTAAATACACAGC